ATGTAATGTGATGCCGAGTGCAGCAGCTCATGTTTCAAGATTCCTCCCTTTCTAGATAATTGCTCATTTATAAGAACAGGACGAAATCTTGTCCTTGTACATAGCCACAAAAATGCACTACTTTTCCCAGCGGAAATTCCTCGTTCCACTGTCGTTTCTAGCTGTTGTTCTTGTTGTCCGCATTCTTTTGAAATTAATCAAAGTACCACAGGAACAGAGAAATGTCGATTCGCACAGACCGCAGTGAAAAATTGACCAGAACCCCTCCTTCTGTCGCAATTCTTTGCTGGCGTAGTAGATGACATGATTCCTTTTCTCCAGTCGCATTTGTTAGAACCTTTCGCCAACCTAAGCAGCGGTCAGTACACAAAGAAAACACTACTACATAGTTCAGGTCGAAAGGACGAGAATTTGTATTTTAGAACGGAGTGTCAAGGAATCGAAAAAAACTCGTTCAGAATTTATATGACACCCTTCCTAATTTCCGTAAACCAATATTTCATGGCCAATTAAATGCCTCATTTTCTGTTTCTTTGCCTAGAAATTTTTTGCCTTTTGGTACTTACGCATCATAAAGCTAATTTCACATTATTTCTTTGGATGAAAGTCCCCTCTGATCTTCTTGACTGGACTGAAACTTTTGCTAGACTGATACCAAATTTCGATCTGCTGCAAGGTAATTCAGGATTTTGCACAGTAACAAAGTAATGCTCCCCATTCCTTTCTGTTACGCTCCCTCATTTACCTCCTTCGCTTAATCCCCACTGCCTCGTTTCTAGCGCAATTAATATGTTTATATGTGTAGATGTCATGTTACATCAGCATCGATGATATCTTGCCGATATCAAATTCCAAATTCCCTGCTGGTACTGGCTGGATGTTCTGCTTGCTTTCGTCCTTTAACTTTATTGCTGCTATTTAAATCCCATGGCGCATTCACACAAGCGTTTACATCATTTTCGCTCATATCCAGCAACCTTCTCGCTTCCGCCACCTCGTGTTTAATCCTCCTCCAAGAACAGCAACAGAGGAGGCTTCAGCCTCTCCAAATTTGGTGCCGTAGTGAGCTTTGGCCAAAGAGATGCTCGCTTCATTTACCTATTTATATTACTCGTTTTTTGGAACCAGTATCTGGTGTTTCTGTTACTAGAGCAGTTTCAACAAAATGCAATTGCCTCATGACATTTGTAGGAAGAGGTTTTTGACTTCCAGCTTTTTGACTTTATTTGATAATGCGGTCAACCATCGTCTAAATTTGCATATTTCGGGCCGCTGACGCAACTGGCAACCTCTTTAGAACTGCTTTATTTTCAAAACTGAATTAACTTTACTAAAGGAAAGTGCAGATAGAATAATAGTAACATGGATCTTAAAACAGTAACAATAATAAAAATTAAACTAGTAGTAATGGCAATAAAAAATAGTAGTAATATTGATAGTAATACCAGTGGTATCAATGATTTGACAAAATAATAATAACAATAATAATAATGATAATAATAGTAGAGCCAATTTCTTGACACCGAACCAACCTTCTTGAAACTGAGTCAGGCCATCTAAAATCTAATCCCCGATTTTACTCTCCTTCCTTAACCCACCACGCCCTTCACATAAACCATCATATCCGACCACCAAACACTCATCCTTACATCCTTAACGACACCTCGTTAAGGAATGAAGGTCACCAAACGCTCACTACCCTCTTTCCAACTTTGGAGCCTCAGTGGCTGCTAGTTGCAAGTGTCCTAATCAATATATTTGCTTTGTAAAGTTATGGGTCATTTGGTGTCACTGAACGTTGAAAATTTTTTGAACACAAAAAATATTTTTAAGAGTTTTGGGAACCAAATCGCTCTTGTTCAGGACGAATGCTCAAGCATGGATATGCTTCGACCAATCGCACTCACTACGCATTATGGCCTGCTTAAAAAGGTACTTATTTTTTTCTAAATTAATTCAGGGTCGGAAGGCCTAACACAGCTGAACCGGATATATTTGTGAGCATCCGAGCAACATCACTAACACGGAGTCGCCGTAATTGTTTTTCCTGACGTTTCACTCTTTGGTTTTTTGTTTCCAGTCTAAGCAGTTTTCAGTAACAAGTGTTTTTTGAATGTTTTAGGAAAGTGTTGTGGCGCCGGTCAATGGTGCTCATGACTGCGCGATGAACTCCATCTACAACGACAACAACAACGTCAACAGAATGGTAAATGTGAAAGTTTTATGAAGTGTCAAATTGACCACAAAATTCGTCATCTCTTCATAATTAGAAAGCGGTTCCGTGGGTCCGCTGCTCAGAATCAAGTTTTACCGGAATTTCTGTATCCAAACGTCACACTTTAGCTTTTTTCCAAGTTTCAAATTAAAATTCCACTGCTAATAAAGAAACATTTCAATAAACATTTTTATAACTCATTAGTCAATAGGTTAGGTACTCGAGATGGTCTCCTAGTAACAGCCTTCGAGAGAAGGCATCGATATTCATAGACGCCGAGAATATTTTGAAACGGCTAAAGCCCTTTGCCAAGTACTTCTGTCAAGAAAACCTGTTCAATTGAAAATCCATTCAAGAAACGAAGGGCTGACCACCAGCCGATGGCCACTGGTTAGAGCAACTGGAAAAGTTAACAGCTACGTAGCTGAAAAAACAAGCTATGAATTTTGACTGATCAAAATATTAATTTTTCGGTGAAATCGATTTTGTCTCGAAAATAATACCACTCTCAGACTTGTCTGTTTCCAGTCTGAGCGTACCGGCCTTCATCCATATTTTAATTTCATCCGCGCTTGACAGGGAAAATCT